ATTTGTTTTTAAGTATCAAGGCCTTATTACTTTCAATTTTATTTGCAGTAACTTCCTCAATTTCCTTTAATTTATTTAAATTAGTATCGAGATATTAAACACTATAATAATAAAAAATTGTGTAAATATTTATTTACCTCATCGGACCCTTGGTCCCCAGCTAAAGTATATACTTGGCCCTATAAGTTTTGTATAAATGAATGAGATTCATATTAAACTATAGTTAAATTTTAAACTAAACTAAAATATACTTACTGAACTTTCATTATTGGCTTGTTCATTATCATCATTGGACGGTGAGAATTCTTGAGGTGAAGTTAAAACATTACTTTTATTATTAATTGATAGCTATAGAAAACAGAAAAAGTTAAAACTAGTAGTTGCTGAATTTAGTAATGATGATTTTTAAATAAATAATTACGCTTGTATTTAACAACGAGGAGACATTGTCTACTTCATCATCGTCTGATATAAAACTCTCTTCATTAAGCATTTCATCTTCAATTTGCTAAAATTATAAAATTATTTGATTTTTTTTTTTTTGTTAGAAATCCTATATCAGGTTCAGGATAATATATATACCTTCTTTTTACTGTTTTGTAATGGTGGTTTATCCTTAATTATTCAAATTTGTATTGGTTAGTAGGTTATTATTGTAATATACCTCAAATTCAAGAATTGAAATTTTTTTACGATTTCTTCAATGTTTTCAACAATTTTTGATGATATTTCGTGTGTCCTTTCAGCCCGGAGTTCATCATCGACAACGATTCTCTCTAGAAGGGTATTCCCATCATTTTCTTCGATCAACTGTCATTTTTTAATATTAAAGTAAAAATTTATCAAATTAGCGTTAGTAATTTTTTAAATAGATCGATTTGGGTTTTATACCTGATGATTATTTCCATAATTATTTGGTGCTGTAAAACAGTCGATGTTTTCGAAAAAAAAAAATTTAAATACAATATATAAAATCAGTTGAGAGAATAAAAAGATGCTAATTTTATTGATTCATACAATGTTGTTCTTCTGTATCAATATTCGATATTTCATGCTTTAATTTATAAATAAGAATGGTTAAATAGTACATTTTGCATTCGTACAGTATATAAACCTAACCTACAGGATATATTATAACTCTTGAGTAATCATTTTGATCAGCTGGAATTGAAACATTTGAAATTTCATCTTCATTAGCTGACGGCGAGGAGACATCGAGCATTATTTCGTCTTCTGATAATACATCAATACGCTAGGGTTATATTATTGGTGCATAATTAATACAGGAGATTTATGAATAATATGTGAATAAGCGGAAACAAGTTTCTACTAATTCCAGTGGTTTTGTATTAATCACAATTATACTTAAATAATATTCAAATACCTTTTTTTTACTTTTATCTCTTCCTTTATTATTAACTTTACATTTTGATATTCGCCTCTTTCAATTTGTAAGGTTAGTATAATTGATTTTGTACGGTAATGATTGAAAAATTGGCTTACTTTATATGAATTGGAATTTTGCTTGTTTTTTTTTTTATTTGACATGATCTCATCTTCTAGTTCATCAATTTGCGACGATGTTTCATTGTCACTTTCTTTTTGCTGAGCATGATTATCATTTTGCTAAAAAAATTATAACCAACTTAATTTAGTTGATTTATAAAATAAATTGCATATAACGCTAAAAATAGTTGCCGTAAATTTGACAGCTTTAAATTTATTTATCTTTATCTACACATTTCTGAAGGGTTGACTGTCATCATCGATTGAGACTTTCGATAGTTTCTATGAAAATTATAAATTACATAAAAGACTAACGGATAGACTTATTATTATTTAATAACTTAAAATATTGAAATTACCTTTTCATTTAATTTTTTATAAGTTTCACCTTTTATAATCACTGAATCTGGTTCATCCAAATCCACAATAATTGAACGAGAACGAGCTTGACTTAAAACTGTCACAGTTTCGCCATTAAATATTACTGAAGAAACACTTTTTTCTGTAGCATTCCATATCAATTTAACTGCAAGGTTAATG